TTTCGTTAATTATTATCTGTAATATTAACCCTTCGAGGACTGAAAAATTTTTATTTTTTTCTTTTTTTTCAGAAAAAAATTTCAAAAAATAATTTCACTTTTCCAAAAAAATGAAAATAATGGCGACTTTTCATGAACAATTTAGAATGATTTTTGACTTATTTGATAAAATAGTTCAACTCAAATTCAAACTTTTGAATTATTTATAAAGCATTTTATCATTCATAAACTCAAATTAATTGGGTTTTGTTAAAGATTTGTCCTTCAATCAATACAATATACAATTTAACAAATTAATATTAGTAATAAAAATAATACGAAAATAAACTGTTTTCATAAACAAATAAAATTGTTAACAAAATCGATTAAATAATATTATCAGATATTCAAGTTTTTCAAAAACAAAATAAAAAACACTTAAAACAAGTGCAACAATTTGGGTTCAATATAAATAATAAGATTGGTTCAAACCAAAATAAAATAAGAACATGACAAAAATATTGTTGTTGAAATAAAAAATGGATTCCACTCAAACTAAAAATACTTAGAGAACCAAATAACATCAAAATATTACGATAAAAACCCACTACTTACTATTAATTTTGTGTGTTATTCATCTAACACAATAATAACATTAAAATAATTATTTTATATGGTAAAACAACGCTATAAAACATCAATTTAAGTCGAGAAAAATGGCAGTTTTGGATACATTATACAATGCATAACAAAAAAATAATAAATTGTATAGTAATTTTATTTATAAACAAACTATAATTAATCAACTTGTGAATAATATAACTGATAGTAAATTTATTATATATTTTATGATTGATTATAACAATAATAATATTAAAACTAAACCAAATGAACACCTACACAAATATAATTAAATTGAACCAAGCATGAACAGCCTTGATTATGCCATTTCATTTCTCATCTGCAACTTTCTCCTTCTCATGTCTGTCGTTAATGCCTGGGTACATTAAATTCAATCATAGGAGACGATGTTTAATATAACTTGTTTCTGATATCGACATTGCACCTTGTGATTGAGTTGTAAGTTGTCTCGTGGATACCTGATGCTTCCATACCAAGGAATGATGGCTGTAAGAGTGCTTCTGGACATCTGAATCTCTCGTTTCCAATGGTGTTGACTTCACCATTTGATAGTTAATGTGATTTCTTAAATTCTGATGATGGGTAAAGCCTTCTGCATCTCTCTGTTGAT